ACATTGCTTTTCTCCCGAAACCGCTTTTAAGATGCTTTGATAACGCTCCACAGCCAAAGCGAGAAGATGAACTTCTCTACTACGATATCGCTGCCTCCCGTATAAGAAAACACAAAAACTTTTGATACATGATAATGATTCAAGATGCGATAGGAAGGTGGTGGCAGCAGATTTGATTGGTGCGAATCAACCTCCTGTCAAAATCGATATCGTGATAGGATTGACAGTCGGTTGTGGATGTAGAGCTGGACTTCCGAGGCGTGACGATGATAATAGGCTATGTATCAAAGCGTCGACATCCGTCTTTTCAGAGTCCTGACTTGATCGAAGCTGCTGGCATAATGTCTCAATTCGTTCCAGGCTTGCTCTGAGATGCCACCAGGTGACGATTGATTGGTATGTAGAGAAGAAAGTGAGGTTTGTGAGGAAGATGGGGTTAATTTGGAAGATTGAGATAAAGTGGTGACCATCGAAGCTTGCTCCATCGAGTGCGGCGCACCTAATGACGATTTTGCCGGCCTCGTCTGCAACTGAGCAGTCCTGTCACGCTTATAGGATGAGAAGTCTATGGCTGGTGGCAGCTCAAACCCACTGGTCACGGGACCTGGACTTCGTTGTGCGGTTGCATGTCGGTTGTATGTTGGCGAACTTGGTTCTGAGGATGATAGGGAGTGATCTAGTTCGGCCAGTCGACAAGCCTGAGAGCAGAAAGGTGTGCCATTGGTTTGCTTGTCACAAGCAAGACAAAAGTCGCCAAAGCAGTCCATTGCGTTGGAGTAAAGGACAATGAAGTGATATTCGGTTGGGGTACCGGTTCTGGGCAGAAGCAGAGATGTTCAATACAGCGAGGCAGGCCCGGCCGAGGGAGAATCGAAGGTAGGCAGCGTTCGAATCGAAGAGGTAGAAGTGGGGAGTACGCAAAGGCGAGGGTATGGCTTGAAGGATGGCGGGTGATGATTCGCCAGGATGACTATGAAGAAGGGATCGAGAAGAAACTATGACCAAGTGTTAAGGGTACCCCTCAAGCATGAGAAAGAAGATGGGTTAGAAAAGAAAAAGTCAATGTAGAAGAAGGTAAAACAATGAAAGATAATATGTAGTATGGGCCTGATGCTCATAGAGGGCAACCTGACCCTCAGTTACGAAATGGCACCTAACTAGGACTTGGCTAGTGGCGAGTTTCTCTTTGACTTTTGCCCTGGAGATTTCCGTTTCGCTAACGACCTAGCTGCATGTTCTTTTCCTTTCCCTCTCCTCAGACTAAAGTATCAGTTGATGCATGACCCTGCGATGGAATGTGTCAGTGCGGCAGACAAGTGTTAGGCTAGCAGTGTGGAGTGAGATTACGAAGATGCCAAGTAGTGCACGATCAAGGGCAGTCTGGCAAGGGCCAATGAGACAGGCTGAAATTGGACAAACTCCGAGCAATTGATCACCATTGACCAAGGACCCAGAAGGTCGGGGTATGGTGCAAGAGGGTGCGCAGGTGTGCAGCAAGCCGTGTTTTGGGGGCTTCACCCCACACCCGGGGATCGCTTGATCGCCTATCAGGGCTCGACCGAAAGGACCATTTCCAAGCCATCAACGTTATCACTGGACAGCTCAAATCCCAGGCACTGGAGTGACCAGAGGACCTGGACTAACAGCAGTTTTTGAACCGACCAGGAACAGATTTGCCATCAAATCAAAGCCTGAACGGTGCACGGAAAGGCCAAGGATAATTGGGTCGGTGAAATGCGTGGGGCGAGAGCAGCAGCGACGGCACTCAACCTGTACGTACATAGTACTAACTCGTACAACCCTACGGGGTCGTACGACTAAACAAAAGGGCCAATTGGACGTACGGGCATCACCACGCCTCTCAAATCACACGGCAGTCGAATTGCAACGCTAAGCTTCTTCTGACAAAAGCTGGATGATCACTGCCAGGGATCTTCATTGCTCAGAATTGCGGCGTCGTGGGGTGCACACTACGTATACGGTAGGGCATGCAGGTCAGACTAACGAAAGTCGCTTCGAGATGCGGCCACATTGATTAGCAGAAAGTGTTTGCGAGCCGCTGCCTTTCAATAAAGTATTTCAGCAATACGATCAGTTGGGTCACACGTGGTCACCAGATGCGTCAATACCAAAAAAAGAGTAATTCTTTGGCCTTCCGGAGCACATCAGTCCATCAGTCCGAGGAATGCGGCATGGACATTCCTGCAACGAAGCAGAACCTGAGACCAAACTTCCGCTCAGTGGTTACGTAGTACACTAGGGTCCCTGTTCCATCCAGTCAAAAGCCGCTACCACTGCAGCTTGGAGCGGATTTGTACGAGCCATATGCGAGTTATCGCTAATGGCATCCTCGATAGTGCTCCCAGCGTTTCCTTTGGGCCACTCATATCTTAGTTTCAGCTCTGACAGCGGTAGCTAGCCCTTCAAGGTAAAGCCCAACTCCATTTGTGTGACCCCACCAGTCCCGTGTCCAGTGTGCGTTCGCCTGCCAGAGCAACTTGAATCAAGATTGTGCAAGGCATGCAGAACTGACAGCGGCTGTACCTCTTTCGTGGAACACAGGAATCATCTTCCTGGTCATGCCAGCGTCGTCTTCAGTTTGCCCAACTTGCACCAGAGTTTGGGGCTTTGCTTCCTAGACGTCATTAGCACATTCCAGGACTAGTCCCACACATGGCGGGAACTTTGAAATCGTGAACATGACTGGACTCGACTACTATGTACTGATGATGATAGACTGTCCGATGGGCCCGGTTGAGTCGACTGATGCTAGAGCACTTGTCAGCTTGAAGCTCGATATGCTGACGTTGGCACTCGTCCTGATCCTTCAGTGGGTCCAGAGTCTGGACCGGTCACGATTTATTTGTGGCATACTGGCGCACGCTACTCGAGGTCCACCTTACGTCGTCTTCTATGACAGCTCTATGACAGCATGATGAATAGTGTATGGTTTTTGTTTTGCTCTATAGAGCTGTGCCATGACTTCCACAGGAGGTCTGGGTCGTTTCAGAACCCAAATAATTGCTTTTACTATTGAATCATGCGCCACAAGCCAGCTTCGAAGTGGCTTGCCTCGCCAGTTCGGCCTGATGATCCGTGAATGCAATGCACCAGTTCTCGCGTCGCATAAGCCGCAGATCGACTGTGCTAGCCACGCACACGATAAGCAGCAGCCTTGTACCAAGTATCCCTCCACTCCACCGCACTCAATAACGATGACCCGAGGTTCGAGGCCAGTGAGCACTGCAAGTCTCAGTAGCCAAGCCCTACCATTCTTCTCGCCGCCCATTGGTTACAGAGAGCAGCAGTCGTGGCATCTCAAGCGCCCAACCTGCGTTAGAAACTTGGGACTGACAAGCTCGGATTGATGTCTGTTCTATCTGAGGATCAATCACATCAGTCCTTGATACTCTGCGAGGAGTTACGGCAAGCTGTGGACACAGACGTATATTGCTTTGGAGATTCACATTCGCCATAACCAAGTTACCGAATCGTCACTCTAGACAATCAACCATTTGCCGACAATGCTCTCGTTGCCGTGTAGCATAGACCATCAGTTCCGTAAGCTATATCTGATGCAGTTTTCGGGGTTTTCCGGCGATGACTGACCTCCGCTACGAAGTGGAGGCATCTTTGCAGAACGTATCCCAAGCTGTGATGCTTATACGTATAGCCGTATAGCATGAAGAGAACAAGTTGACACATCGAAGTGCACCCTTACAAGCATGAACATTTCGGGATCCGCACCATGCTCTGCGCGGATCGCCTTGTATCCAGCTCCGTTTGCTTCCTCATATTTCCGAGGGATGAGCGATCGTGCACTTCATCCCAGGCTTCCCAATGCAAGGCCACGAGAAGATATTGGAACTGAAACAGAACGATCTATCTGCAGACAGTCCAGCCAATCGGGACATTTTCTACTAGAAACAGAGCAAAACTTTCTCACTTGCATGCATATCTGCCTTTCGTGTTACTGAGGCATTTCAGCTAAAGTCCGTCTCTTGTCCCACTCATACCTTAGACCCTACAAACCCCAAGCCCCCAACGGTTTTCTGGAATTGGGAAAGACAGGAGAAGATCGACCATGAGAACAACGAAACACGTGTCTCGCGTAACACCTATCCCTGGCCGGTGCCTTCAATTCACAGGTTCTTGTGCAACGTGCAACGGCAAACGTCCGCTTTCGCCCCCCCACTCAACAACTCACAACTCAGCATTACGTACTTCTGTCCCCTGTGTTGGGTGTGGTAAATGTGCTTCGTGCCGGGAGAGCTAGGAGGAAGTCTAGTGAGGTTTCTTGATGTGGTGTCATGACAGGAGTCCTCCAGCATCACTATCGAGTCATGCTGACGATCTCTACGAGCGATGGTATTGCCTGACCATATCCTACATCTGCTTGTCAAGAAGTACAAGTACAACGATAGCCATTACCGCGCAATCCGTTATCACAATCCAGTTGGAGACCACTGCTTACGATTAAGTGACGCAGCAACACACACTCGTTCCTGACGCTGCCTCACAACCAGTCAACGACATGTTTGAGTGGCAGGTTGCGTTTTCCGGCGGCAACTAAATTGTCGGCTTATAATCCCATGCCTCGTTGCATAGTCCATTGCTACCGAACTGCGTGGATGAGAGAAATACATGATCAGAATCAGGACGACTCCCAGCAAGATCATATATATACTGGTAGGTTCTGCAAAGTGGGCTCCTTTGTTCCTGATGTATTGGACTGCCCAATGAAACCGGCTTCCCAATTGCATCTCGATCTTTCGGATAGTCCAATGCTGCCACCATGGGTGAATGAATGTCTCGATGGAACATCGGTTTGAAACGAGTCCCTCATTCAAACTTCAGAAGGATCCTGGCTTTCTTTTACTGCATTTAATACGGACGATCAATCTTACCCACACAGTAGTCCTACCAACAAGTGTCTGCCCTTCTTGCTTTTACTGCACAACCTCACCAGCTCCCGGCAACACGCCTGCAGCCACAGCCCCTTACTGTCCCTCAGCTTCCTCAAGCCCTACCATCTTCAAGCCGTCCACGTTCCCAGGCACCGGTAAAGTCTCCCTCTTCAACTTCCTGACCCGCTGTTTCTCTGCCCACTCCCTACTGGCCAACCTGCCTCTCTCCGCCGCCTCGGCTCTCGCCTTCTTGGCCGCCGCCTCCTTTTCCCGCTTCTGCTTCTGCAGATCTTCCTCTGCGAGTTTGCCGCGGCTGAATATTTCTTTCCCTTTGGCCATTTTTCCAGTCCTGGCTGTAGTTGCAGGGTTTGTGTTCGATGAACCTTCGGAGCCAAACTGAATCGCACTGGATGACATGGTCTGAATGCTGGACTGTCTGGTCTTTGATGGAACTGTCTGATGTGTTGTGTTCCTCCTCACGGCAGAGTTGGCCGAGACGGTGCTCATGCTCACCCTACCTGTAATCGTAGCAGCAGCCGCAACCGATGGACGCGTCCTCGTGTTGGTGACTGAAAAGCTAGACTGAGCCGTCGATGGAACGACCGATTTTCTGGCAACACCTCCAGCTCTAGCAGAACCCAGTCCGGATCCTGAAACAACCTTACTCGCAGCAGGCCCTGCATTGTCCTTCCCAGCCTCATCTTTCTTGGCAATGATCAAGCTCATTCTTGCTCTACTCGTCGCATTTTCCCTCGGAAGCACAGAGCTGACTCTTACCTTGCCACCAGCTCCGGCAGAACTCACAGCCCTGGGTACAGGTCTGGCTTTGAACTCTGTCCTCTTCCTCGCTTCTTCGGTTTTGGCTTCTTCTTCCTTCTTCAGGCGTTCCTCTCGCTGAGCTTTCATTTTTGCAGATATGGCATCTCCTGGGAGGGAGAAGTTGGACTTTGTGGGTGGTTTGGCAGATTTGATGGGGACGAAGCCTGGCTTTGATGTTGAGAGGCTTGTGCTTGCGGTTCGTCTGGGAGCTGTGGTGGTCATCGGAGCTGGCGGTGAATGCCTGGTAGTGGCGGCGGACGCGGTCGGTTGCGTGGATGATCGTGATTTGATGGTCGTCAATGTTGAGGTTCGGGGTTGAGGTTGGGCAGATGAAGCCCGTGCAAGGGGTTTGCGCCCAGTGGTCGTTGGAGTTTTACCTACCAACTTCTCCTTAGTGGGAAATACTGGATTTTTCGATGTCTGTTGCAACGGTGCTGCAGGATCCATCACTCCTTGTATTGGGCTTGGCTTTATTGTGTTCGCCTGTGGTGTCTTGTTTCTGACGGGCGACTCTAGGCTGCTGGGCATGGCTTTAGGTAAGTCTTCGGCCACCTGCTCGATTGCTTCTTCCAGAGCATCGATCGCCTCTACGGAGTCCTCGATACGCGCGACATACTTTGAAGGTGATCGGTTGATGATATTCTCCATGAAAGAATCAGGTCCATCGCCAGCATGCTGCTCCGATGTCATGATTCGAGCTGGTGTTCTTGTTTTGATGGAACTGACGAATGAATCCTCACTTCTCTGGCCTGAAACCTGACCCGCGAATGATGTCTGAGAATGTACAAGCGGATCGAATCTGGGGGTCCCCTGTACAGGCCCTTGCACAGCAATCAACCTCTTCTCTGGACTCTTGCTCAAAGATCTGCTCGCCTCTTTAGCAGCCGTGCTTGAAGGTGTTACCGGTCTTGCATTATCAACAAGCACCTGGGATATCTCGAGCGCGAGACTGTCTCTTCTCAGTTCTTCAGCAGCGGCTTCAGCGGCTGAACTTGCGTCACTTTGGCTCTCGTCCTCGAGGACTTGCTGATCAGGGCTTGGTAAGAAACTCTCGTCGTTTGCCAGTGTCAACTTGATGTTTTTCCTGTTGCGCATATTGCTCTTTTTGGTCCCTTTATTCTTGTTTGTAGGGGTGAGTTGTTCTCCTAGCTCTGGTGGTAGGAGAGGGGCATTATTGTTGTTGTTTTGAATTTCACCAAGTGGAGGTCGGATCGAGATCTCAGAGGAGAAGGGATCATAATCTTGTGTGTTAGTGGTGCTCATTGCTTCGTTGTCCTCATGAATGAGCTGAGGTCCCACTTCGGCCTCTTGAGCGCGTAGTTGAGCTCGGGTGACGCGAGGCATACTTAGAAGAGGATGTAATAGTCTCTAAAAGGGGTGCAGGTCGTTTGACACGAAGGGGTAGCAGGTAGTAGCAGTCGGCTAAGGCGTACAACTTATCATGGTCAAGCTATGCTGGTACGAGGGAAGAGGAAATCTCAATGTTTAGTTATATTCCAATATGATGGAGAGATTACCGCGACCCATTTGTTTACGCCGAGACACATGTCCGAGCAACTGCTAAGTTACGGCTAAGTTACGGCTAAGTTACGGCTAAGTTACGGCTAAGTTACGGCTAAGTTAGTGCCAAGTTAGGACCCAGTTAGTATAGTACTAGCTCCACCCAGACCGTGCCGCAACCTCCAATCACATGCCGCTTTCCCAAAGGGCAGCAGTGAGCAGGACCGCGCTCAGTTCCCTCCCCTCGATTCGAAACCATCTCACTGGACTTCCTTATCTCTATCACACATAGCGTGAAACGAGTGTCGTGATGCTGATCAGGGAATTGGAAGGTCCTCATTCCGGTTGGATGGGGCTTGTGCCGTACCACTTGAAGACTCATACTACCGGTTTCTACAGGGCGTGAGTCACCAGGATGGGGACCTTCGTGGCCAGTCCAGTATAAGAAGCCCCTACTCTACACTCTCATGACTTGCGAGCTGTCACAAACTTTGCCCTTTGAAAGCCACCGTCAAGAAACCCGCACCTTGAACACATATCCCATCCTTAAAGCCATTGATCATGGCTGGGAAGGCCAAAGGAACATCAAGCAAAAGGTCTAAAGGACGAGGTACAAGGCAGTCTGCGTCATCGTCCTCTGCTGCCCACGTGATTGCCGAGAAGACGCGACAGACCCAAACCCACATCTTTTTCTGGGCTGGTCCGTTATCCAACTGGCACAAAGGTCGCCCTTTTTCTGGAGCTCGAGCGCTTGCGTCAGCGATTTTTCAGCTGGACAAGATCAATACCAATCATCCGGCTGAGACAGCCCTGTCTAGCCGCTTGCTCGCAGCTCATACGTTCAATTGCGGCGAGCAATGGTTAATGGCCACCAAAGGTTGGCTCTTCGAACGAGATGTTGACCTTGGTGAAACTACTACAACAGGTGAAGAGTTTAAGTCACTTGCCACGCAGATGCTTGCTCCACAACCACCTCCCAAAGATCAGCCTGCCAGACGACAATTATATATGTCCACGCTTTGTGCAGTTCTCCGTACAACATCGCCAAAACAACAGAAAGCCCTGGGCCGGAAATGTAGGAATTTCGATCCAGCCGTCTGGGACGACGCGTCCGTGCCAATTGTCGTTGCAGGCTCCGTTGCCCGTGCGGAAGCCGACTACATGCTGAAACGAATTTATCTCAAAGCTGGCAAAAGGGAATTCGTCGAAGGCTCTCCAGTGGACACCATTTGGGGTGTTGGCATTCATTGGACACATCCGTCCATTGAAGAGCCCGCAAATTGGAGAGGCACAAATCGTCTTGGTGTCTGCCATGGTCTTGCTCGGAACATAATTTTGGAGAAATTTGGCAACGAATTGGAGGCCGACTGAGTATTGGTAGCTCCGCCATAGAATATACCCGATGGCATTTGAACCGAGGCACACAGGCACAGATTCGACATTTCTCGTTGTGATAGATATGGAAAGTCTTTGTCCGATTATTGCCACTGCAGACTGTGACAAAGGGAGACTGTGCTCGATATTTGAACCAAAATTTCTGAACAAAGAGTACAACGGACAAAGTCGTGATGGATTCGTTGATGGAGGCAGTGCTACAAGTTGGGCCAATTGCGCTACTTTGTCCCGCAGCTTCAAGGGGAACACGGCCGATACTACAAAAATGCTTCGTTCGTTGTTTTCCTGCTTCCGCAACGATCACACTTTCCGTATGGATGAAGAAACACGACCACTTCTACGCTGTTGGTCAGAGCGCACGCAGTGGGATCGACGATGGGGCCCTCGGGGAAGAGGCTCATTTCGACGGAAAAGATATGTTGAACTTCCATCGCCAGCATTCACACGGCTGGAAGACGACAAGGCAGGCTTTCTGTCTGAGGGGAAGCGGTTATTGCGTTCTTTTTGGTATTCTAGTACAAATGAGCAAAACATCCAACACTGAATCAGCTTTATGCGACACTATGGTTTTGGTAGTCTTCATTTGAGTAAGCGTGTCTAGCCTTGAATTCTCAGTCGTCTCCTCCACTCCGCTAATCTGACTTCTTCCGCACCCTTGTCAGCATACTACCAGCCCCCACCGTATGAAAACGTACCTCGACCCCTGCCAGAGGGAGGCAAATCAATGACTGAACCACAGTAGCGCTGAAAAGGGAATGAACCTGACCATTCTTTCCAATCCTCTCCAAGCTATTAAGATCAAAACAAAACAGTGCCGAAAGACGTGATAACTATTTTTATTTCGCTTTGCAAGGATAAACTCACAAATGCATGAGGTTTAGGTGGACTATTTGACCCGCTTCCTAAAACATCACTTCCAGTGTATCCATCAAATCAAATAAACTTAACCCCGATTTGATTTGCTTACCTGATCCCAGAGTTCGATTTGATTTGCTTACCTGATCCCAGAGGTCGATTTGATTTGATTTGACTCATTTTGTCGTCAAATAGTGTCAAATGTTGAGTAGCAATGTTTTGTTAAGAGGACTGTCTTTTCGTAAATTCATCCCACATGAAGAGTCTGCCAAGACTTTTTTTCTCATTGAAAATAGATGGTAACCCTGAATTTTTAATATAATTGAGTTTTCCGCCAAGACTTCCATTTGACTAACGTACACTACCACTTAGCGGGCCACCCCACTTACCGGGCCAATTTGCACACACTTTACGCAGTACTTTACCACTCCATAGGCCACATTACCATGACTTAATTGGGCCAAAAATTGAAGCTGGAGATACTTCCTATTTGAGCCTATCTGAGAGAATTCTGATGCGCAGCGAATCCTCCGAACGGTGCGTAATTTGCACTCTAGAGGGCGCCCTGCCCTCTTTGGCAGCCCTGACCTCCTCAAGATTCCACGAACGCTGCACCCTCTCTTTTACCATGCGTTTTGAGCGCTTTTGGACCTCTTGATGGTGTAGTTGCTTTCGTACGTTGTTGAGCTCATTTTGAAGCAATTGAGCGCCAGCATGCTCTTGAATAGCTGCGTGGCTGAGCTTGCGTACAGAGCGTTGAGTTCGAGGAGTAACTTTGGCCTCAATTTGCGCTTGAAGCTCTCGAATTTCATCCAGCTTCTTCGGAGTGCTATAGAGATGGTTAGGACCCTCTTTAATAGGCGCAGGTTGATACTCAGGCGTTGTGCGGCCAAAATTTTGAATTTCAGGATCCTCTAGCAATTTTTGCTTATTTATTGGCCAAATGCCGGCTCTTCTCCATCCTGCGCGAATATTTCGCTCAGTAAATGCCTCCTGACGAGCCCGTACGTAAAGTACCGTAAACAGCCGTGACAGCTATCAAGTATCAGAATGATATGCTTGCCATTTGACGCAATTGGAACGAATATTCGACGCAGCCAATCAACAGCTAGCTCTTCGTCAGTCCATCCCTTAGGAGAAAAGGCCCATATAATGTCAGGAAGCTCCTCATGCTCTGGAAACATATGATGTTCAGGATTCTTGTCAGTAAAGATAAGATAGGGCTTAATAGCCTTTTCTGTATTTATACACTCAATAATAGAGACTCATTGAGTGTTATCTGACGCTGGAGCAACTGGGCGACCTATCGTAGGATCAAAAACAACATATTTTGACGCTATTTGCCCTATCTGAAACCCTGTTTCGTCCATATTGTAGATATCCTGCGGCTCGACTGCGTATTGGCTGCGAAGCTGTTCGAATTCGGTGAAAAAGCGTTCAATAACGCTAGAATCAAGGGCCATGAGTCGTTTGATATCCATTGGTCGATTTCGACGCGTTTTAAGCTCTGGATGGCGAGCTATTAAACGCTCCACGTAATGCTTGCCAAGTTGAATCTTATCCCCCTTGCTATAGAGCAATTTAGTGACCATTCGTCGAATTTGAGCATAATTAGGGCATAGATGCTGCCTCTGTAGGTCTCTAAAGTATTAGATAAGCACTTTTTCTTCCTGTTTCGAAAGGCGTTGAGAAATGCGATCAGTTTCGGCTCGAGAGGGTCGTCCAGCGCGTCGATAGGCCACTGTTGATTTCGGCACATTGTAGTACTCCGCAGCCTTGCGAACTGAGCTAAATAGCCCTAAATCAACGTTATTTGACGCATTCTGAATCAAATGCTCCTTATGCGAGTCCATTTGGAGCTATATTGGTGGAGCTATAGCTGTTCGAAATATGAGGATGCCTGCGCGTTGGTGTGCAGAAATTGGCCCGGTAAGTGGGGTGGCCCGGTAAGTGGTAGTGTACGTTAATTTATCAAATCTCAAAGTCTTGATTTGATTTGAGCAAAGCACGTATTTGGTTTATTTGCCAAGCGTTTGATTTGGTTTATTTTGACTCAATTTGATTCAGATGGACACCCTGATATGCACTTCATTCCTTTTCGCCTTCGTTCTCTTTAACTTTAACTGCTCCACGTCCTCCTTCTCGTCAAATAAATGGCAGTAAACAGGAACTCTCAGGATGGGCAGTGGGGCGGTAGGAAGAGGAAGGCTTTGCTGAGTCTAAAGCTCCCCTCATTCTTCTAACTACTTTGAAAGACGTGCGACGTTGCTTTGCCATGGTTGTGTTCTACAGCGCAGTTTTGATGACTATCTCCATTACCGCCTCTCAGAATTCCTTCATCAGGGACGGTCCATTGAGGAACTTGGGACATAGTGTGTGGTAACCCTTTTTAGGTCAGACTATGAACCAGCCAGTAAACGCAGATGTCGCCAATGTGGTGGACCGTCCGCAAGGAAATTCTATCCAACCAGAGGCGAGCACGGACGAGGCGCTTTTAAATTCCTCGAGCTGAAACTCGGGTATTCGATGCACTCGATCCATGCTCTCCGGTACCACTTACTAGTACCAAATCGTACCTGAAGAACTGCTGGGATAGGCATTCTCTGGAGCGGATGATGCTGAAATTCGAAATTTCGGATTTTAAAGAAAATCAACTGTCACAGAAAGGTTCCATGCCATGCTATGGCTGTCATGCTGGTTGCAGAGAGGGGGGTCCCTCTTATCCGGTCTTTCTCAAACTATGGTCTGGGCCGTGCGAATGCCTTCGAGTGTCGCTGTTTTGAGTGTGACCAGGACAACGGCTATGCTTTTAAGGGTCTTGTAGAAGAAAGGCAGATGAGTACATGAATAGGACCGATTGTGGGGGTTATGATTGAAGCAATGAGCCGCCAAAACACTGCAAGGCATTCAAGCAAGCATGTCCTCTACAAGCTTGAGCTCTATGCTAGTGTTCCTTGATGGTATGGACTCGTGCTCACGAGGTTACATTCGAACACTTCTGTCTGCTGTTGACGCTTTCACCTATTTCTACACACCAACGCGGCCGCATTTCATAAATCTTGCAACATAGCACTTCAGCTCACGGCTTCAGTACCTCGATCTCTGCCCCAAATACATTACTCTGCACTACTCACTCCGTAAAGTCAGTACCTGACGTGCTCTGTACAGATTTCGGCTAACAATCTTAGCATGCTTCTCGCCAATTTACCCACAGAGCTCCTCTATCAAATACTAAGCCACCTCCCGTCTCAAAGCTACCTCCTCGCCACTGAAGCTAGCAGCAGATTGTACCGCCTTCGAACTCCGACAAGGATGAGTGAGATTCTAGAGCAATTCGAACTTCCCAAGGGCATCGACTATGAAAGGACGCCGTCTTCACCTTTCGACATCCACCACGTATATCCATGCTACGGTTGTTTTCAGGCCTTTCCAATAGAAGAATTTCCTTTTGTCGATGAGCAGTGCATGTGGGAGGTTGGGACAAAGGATTGGGCCCTTTGTTTTTTTGATATAGGGGGAATAGGGAACCGTGAGCGGAGATGTAAGCTGTGTGATGCCAAGGAAGGATGGAGATGCAGTCTGCTGGTGAACTGGATGAAGGATTAGTAGGAAGGAACTTTGGCATGACCTGTTTCGGGTCCGGGTCATTGAATATTATGAGGACAAATGAGCTCAGGCCCCAGAACTGGTAGAGGGTTTCTGATAGAGGCCTTTGCTGGGCTGGCATTGGCTTGAGAATATGAGGTTTCGAAACGAAGAAAAAGCATCGAGATGGAAGCGTTGAAAGGGAATGAGCGTCTTTCAACGATCATGCTGGGGTACCGCTAGCCGAGAGAGGCCTTCAGATTCTCATTTGTGATCCTGATAACTCTCACTTAGGGGTCATACCTCGAGCTGATAAATCTTTCTTGCATGTTTCTGATCAGCTTTCGGTCTCGTCACTTCTGCTTGTGAACCTGATGCCCGCACAACCGGTGCTTCGACCTCCCATCCTTAAGTCACCGTCGTACACTCTCGAAGCTCCGATAATCAAATCAGGTAAGCTAGCTTACATTGCACCGTTGGTATAGTGATGCTGAAGTACAACAGAAACAAGAATCAATCACGATGCCCTTACTCGC